GATGCAGAATATCAGTTTAAATTTTATCAACAAAAAATTACTAGTAAAATGTTCAAGAAATCGCGCTTATTTGATTTGGAAATTTTTTTGGGAAGCGGCAGTGGAAAAGAATTTTAAATACAGTTATGCACTTCTTAAACTGTGACTTTGATGTTTTCTCGACAATATTTATGACACTCTTTCGGGGCTTTTTTTTTAAATCTAGTTTACATACTACACTTCGGCCTAGCACTTTTTTTAGCATTAACCTGATCGTTGTAGAAGTACAGCATTTTGAGGATGTCCAAATGTACCCTAGTTAGAATCTTTGTAAACACTAAAAAATAATAAAAATTTTGTAAATTTCACCGTCAATTGTCGATCAAATATTGGTAACAAAGAAAAATGTTTTATTAAATAATAATTCTTATTACATCTAGCCTACTTTTGCTTTTTTTATATCGCAACGTGCATCACGTCATTTCGGCTACCAAATAGCGTTTCATTCAAAGCTAGCGCTTAGTTTGTTATACCGTTGCCGTCTTCGTCGTTTACTAATTTTATTCAATCTCCTAGAAGTTATCCTAAACAGGAGCCAAATCTATATATGTTTTAGAATCTATCTGAAATTTTTTTTTTGCTATTTTTTAACTATCTTGCTATAAGATTCTGAGCCGCACGATTGCTGACAGTAAACTGTTGATGCAGAAAGTGCATTAGGTCAAAAATTTCTGCCATGTGTACTAATATTTTTGAAACGTTAAAGTTTTGTTTTTTCATTTTGAGGCAGTTTTTTGCCACTAAATTTATCGCTTCGTTTATTTGTTTATCAATTTTAGTCTTTAAAAACTTTAAGATATTATTTTGCATCGTTTATCGTTTATTCTTTTCTTTTTATAGTTCTCTGCTAAATTTAAAAGGCGTATTTCTTTGCTGGTCTAATATTTACAAACACTAAATCGAGATTAATTTGAGCATGATCAGTGGTGATTCTTTTAAATAATTTAAGAGGTGGTTTTTAATTGTCAATGCAAAGCTCTTATTTTGTTTATTTTATTTAGCCTTTTCAATGTCTACTAGTGAGCTTACTTTCTTTCCATATAGCAGCAAATTGTTAATTTTCTCCATTCTGGTACCAGTGCTGCCATGTGCTAGAGGGACCTGAGAAACTATTCTAAAGGTTAAATAAGGTCAAATACAGCATCAAGAAGAACCGACGATTCAATGTTATGTAACATTAATGGAAACTTAAATTTTAAGTTTTTATTCTACAGCTGTAGATGTAGGCAATTTTTCACTATTTTAGTTTATTTGTTTCTTTCAATAGGGTTAAAAAGAGCATTTGTTTTTTCAAGTCTAGTTCTGGCAGTGTGGATTTAGTTTATATGGTTTATTGCTTATTTCATCTGTTGAAAAAAGTTTATCGTTAACACTGTCAAAAAAAATTAGAGGAAATTAGTATCAAGAGCGGAAAAATGGTTAATTTTCTACTTTCTAATTTTCCTATGTGCTACTGTAGTTTCCAAACTGCCTCTTCATGATCATCGCGGAGATCGGGTTTACTGAAAGCTTTATAAGTAGAGTGAACCTCTCTCCTGCAAAAACACCCTTTTTGCTCTCTTTAATTGTTAGAGGCAAAAACAAATTTGAGAAGTTTTCTTTTACTGAACTGAAAGAAATTATGAAGGTGGGAAACTGACTCACTTAACAACCGGTAAAGGCTGTTCTAAGAAGTTGAACAGTTTGAGAACATTCTCTTTAGTAACTTACAAATACTTTGATTATTAGTCTCAAATTGTGCGAAAGCAGTAGTAGCTGTAACGGTGCTTTTTCTGGCTATATTTGCAGTGCTTCTCAACTGCAGAAGTAATTTTTTATCTGCTTTTTTTCATAAAAAATTTTATGGATTTAACCTTTGTTTTCAAAACTAGAGTTGTAGTTTTGAATCTAAAAAAACGCATTTTTTTCCGAGGGTTTGCTTATATACCTGTAACTTGATAGAGATAGTTAAGCTGTTTTATAATCATAACTTGTCAAGTTCTTCCACATGGATGCGGTGAAACTTTATGGAAACTGCACAAAAGTTGATGTTGAAATAATGCTTTTTATGCTATTGACGAATAATGGCAATGTGTAACTTTGATATGCAGTTTGTTCTTTATGTGCTTATAGGATAATTGAAGTTCAGCTATACACCTAATGTTCTGTCTACTGGGACTCTTAAAAATTTCTAGAAATAATATGAGAGAATATGATTGCACACGAAAAAATTATGATGAAAAATGATTAAATACTTCTTTTCCTTGACTTAAAAACAGTCACTCATGCAGAAGATATATTTAGACAGGATTTGAGCAATGGTAAAAGCCAAATTTAATTAGTTCTTCTTTTTGTCGGTAGTCGGTCACTTTTAAGTGATGTTTTAGCAAGGGAAAGCGATACTGTTAGCTTTAATTAATTGAACAACAGTCTTGGAACGGCTTATTCAGATAAACTGTATGCTTACAACAAAAAAGTTTTAAGGGACTTCAGGTAAGAAGGCAAGTTTTATAGACCTTTGGAATTAGTAGCCGTTCAGCCTAGACAGTTGCCTTTTGCCTTTAAAGGCTTCCATTGCAGCACTTTTTATTTTTTTTTACCAAGCAGCACACGTTAAAAAAGTAAACGAGTGTCAGTGGCGGAGCAAAGATTGTTAGTGTTCGCCAGAAAGTTTTACCAGGCTATAGTTTATTCTGATAGAAGACAGCCGCATTGATTTGAACACTGGTGAGATATTTATACACCAGTAAATGTAAGCTTTTCAATATTCCCTTTTGCTTAAAAGTCTTGTGGTGAATGTGTTATCTGAGGCAGAAAACTTAATTTTACAGGAAATCGTTTAGGATGGTATTAATAATTACGTTGCAAGAGAATTTGGAAACAAGTCTTTTTTGAATAGTGGATTATTTCCACCATTTTAAATGATACTGGTATACTGCAGCTTAGGTATAATAAATTTTAGATTAGTTAATTTTGCTTTGCTTTTTCTTTGGTAGTTTACTTGACTGTAAAATCCTCAACTGTTTTTGTTGATCAATGCAAATGATGCAGGATTTTGAGATAAAGCTCTAAATGCAACTTTCAGCTAAGCTAAAGCAGACGAAGGTTTGAACATTCGGCTCAGTAATTGCGTACTCTAACAACATTATCTCTAGAAACAAAAAAACTTTCTTTACCTGCATGGCACTAATTCCTCAGTATCACAATGGTGTAGTGTTGACTTCCGTCTACAGATATCACTTCGCATAATGGCAGCCCGATTCAGTAACAATTCATTTTAAAGTTTCAAATAACTTTGCTATAAACGAAGCCAATATAGAGTTTGCAAACTACTGTATTAGTGGTTCTAATTATATCTTACCTGTATAAGCGAAAAAGTGATTGAGTGTCAAAATTTCAAGGCTGCAAGGCACAGAAGCCTTGAAAAGCTGTACGTGAGGCAAAAAAAATCGACGAACTTACTGGCGTTCCTAAGTCTTCACAACAAAAAGAGGCCTTCTACCCACTTTCTGGGACATTATAAGGTTTTTAATTTTTGTATTTTTCAAAAGCTATCTATTTTCTCTATACTTTTCTTGCTTAAGGAGAGAGAAGAATAGGAAGAAATGACAAATGTCGGCTTAAGGAAATTTTTGTGGACACGTTTTTTTTATTGGGTTCTGTTCGCTTCCTACCAACAAATAGATAATGTCAGTTGGAAGAACTATTTTAAAATTAGCATAGTCTTTGTTGAAATTCTGCGTTCAAACAGTGAAGAAGATATACTGATATAAGTAAATTCTCAAAAAATAAATAAATGGCAAAATTTTGAAAAAATTGTTGTCAACCTTTCTGTTGGTGAAAACCTTGACTGCTGTAGTTAATTGATCGTTCTTTTTGTGTCTTATGGTTAGCTTGAGAAGCTACAATTGACCTTTCGAATAATAAGCATTACTTGTCAAGCCTGTCAAAATGCAGCTTATTTTCAAAGCTATGATCTGCTGTGACGGGTGTGGTTGGACCGTTCTAGGTTTGTTGATCGATAGCTGCTTTTCTATTGGTAACTTCGTTAATCTGTCAGGCCATTCCATTTAAACTTTTTTTTCAATAACAATCTACTTTGCACTGCTCTCAATAATTTTTTTCGCTTAACTGATACTTGTTTTTGACTTCTGTACAGTATAAGTTATTGTTGATTGTGTAGGACTGATGTTCTGTGGCTCTGTATACCAAATTCTTGTTTTCAGACAACCCTTGCTAATTCCTATTTTAGCAGTCAAAAGCAGTTCTTCGTACTTATCAGTTAACACTGTCTTTTCCTTTTTTTGTGCCTTAATTAAAATTTACTTAGCTTTATTCAAAAACTATTTTCTGCAAAAACTAGAAGGTACTGGCAAACCAAAAAGGCAAGCCATTTGATGTTGGAAAAGCAATTATTTAGTACACCACTTCTCACGCTTCTGATTGCAGGACTAAATTCTGATAAATATGAAAACTTAAGTTATCAAGCAACTTTACTCTATTCTATTTTTTGAGAAGCTGCTGGTTTTTTTTAAATGACTACAAATGATGGATAATTAATAATACTAGTTTTTAGATAACAAAAGTGGTTATGAAAATGTCATTTCAACTAATTTAATTGGTAAATTTCTGCTAATTCGTTTGTTCTGCTTTTTGGTAACTGTTAATTGTTTAATCCTATTTAAAGATTTTAACTTATTTCAGCAGGAAAGGTTGAGTTCTTTGAAAGCTTAATGATTCCACGTACTTGGCGTTCGTTTTTTGCTTATTTTGACACGTAATACTTCCGCAAAAAGTTACAACTTCGGCAAAGCAACGAAAATTTTTAGAGGCTAATATCAAGTTAAAAAACGGTGTGTACGTCAAGAAGCATTTTTGTTTATTCGTCTGTTCTTTTCCTATGAGACATTTGCGACAGAATTTGTAGCTGTGCGGGCAAAAAGTTGAAATTGATTATAAATAGTAAAATATTTTCGCCAGACATGACTACCGCTGTCTTAGCATTTCTGGCAGTCGTCACCTGCAGTGTTTATGCCAAGGTTTGTTATTTTGTTTTTTTTTTTGATACGCGTTTTTATGATCCACTTTTGTAATCAGTAATCGCTTTGAACAAAGGCACACTTGGAAATTTGGAGTGTTACTGAAGTAATAAATAACAATGCTCCACTTTTTTGACATACCTGAGATATCAATTTATGAATGGTTGATCAGAAAGAAGATCTATTTTGTAGGATACAGCTTGCGGACGTTTGGTCGAGTGCTTACAGAAGGTTCGGACAAAAAATGAGGAGTGTTTCTCTAGTCATCCCAACAAGACCACCACAGACTGTTATAACGAAACTTTACACCTTGAACTAAAGCACTTGAGTGATCAAGTGAGGATGACTTATTTTCTGACAGATATGTATCTCAAAGGTTTTAGCTGTGAGAACAGTAAGCGAGAGTTATCGTCAATCGTTGTCTTCGTTGAGTAAATCATACTTTTTTCATTTGTCTGAAAACAGTGGTATTTCTTTTTGGTTTCTTTGAAGACCTACTTCCTTTTGCCTGAAACACTTGTTTGGCAGTGGTTTTTTTTTAGCTAAAAAGTCTAGATTTAGCTACTCAGAACAAAAGTACGTTTAGATTGGTGAGGCGTAAAGTTGGTGACATTTTTCGGTGATAACTCAATGTCCTATAAGAACCGCCTTACTTAACCCGAACGTCCTATTTGAGATTTGTATTAGTGAATTTCTTTGCAGCGAACTACATATTTCGAAACCTGTTTGAAGGATAGAATTGCTACTGATGGAGAAACTGCAAGTGGTAAAAAGGTACTTTTTAAAGATTTTATGCCTGCTGGAGACTTTAATTTAATACTTGCACTTTTTTTCTGCATTTTTGTAAGAATGCGTGGAGTTTTTGTAAAACACTGCCAATTTGAAAGGTTTTTTCCGAATTCATGTCATTATGGAACCCAAATCTCCGTAGTTTATCTGCATTTCGACACTTTTTTTCTCATTCCGATAAATAAAACCGTCGTTATGCTAGAATTTCTGTGGAAGGCTGACATAAAGTAAATTTTCTGAAGAAGCAGGCAATACATTTTTTTTT